GAGAGCCTGATGTGGGGCTCAAATTCACCAACTGTGAGTCCATGCCCTGAGTTGAAGTCAGACACTAAACTGACTGAGCCATCCAGGTGCCCCTAATACAGATCTTTAATATTTGTGTCCTTCTTGTGTCAAAGTTGCCATTGAAAAGTAGCAAACTCAGTCTAATTTCTTATTTCGTAGATTGGAAACAAAAACCAATCAGGAAATGAATATTTCAGGCTTTTTTTTGTTATTTCTTTAAAAAAAAAACTTTGGCAAACCCAGTATTTTGTATAGATGCTATTGTACACATTTATTCACTAGCTTTCTTCTGTTAAATTTGTTAAGACCATCTCAGTATAAAAGTGCCTATGTTGATATTTCAGTTTCCAGCTGATAGATTTTAAACAAAATTGAAGATTTTTAATCCATTAATAATTTTACGAATTAAAAAGACTTATTTGTTCAGCCTTATGAAATGGCACATTTATAAGTTGTTTTCTCCAACTTCCTACTTTTCCTCTTGTGTTCATCTTAAACAATTTTGATCAAATAACCACTTTTAAAATTATAATTAATTAAAGAATAAGACTAGAAATGTCAACATGAATATATTTTATTGTTGAAAGCATTATGATAAGTACTAAAACCTTGATGGTGCCCTAATCCTGGAAAACATCTTTATCTTCCACTTCTTACTGTATGCTGAGCCCTGTGTATCATTTTTGAGCCCTGAAGTTTTTAGTAATTACTGAAAACAGTTCAAATCCCATACACTTGCATTGATTATGTGTAGGAAATACATGCAAAATCTGCTTGTACACACAAGTATGTGTATATGTCTGTATATACATGTATATCTGTACACATATGTAAATGCATGTAAATATATGAAAACATGTAAATATATATATTATATGGAAAAGAAGGTTTACCAAATATTGTCATTATATTAACTATTTTCATACTCATACCGTAAACAGAAGTACAAAGTGAATAAACTATGATAAATTTTTCCTAACGGACAGCCCCCAAATGGATAAAGACTATATCACTTCTTTTGCAGTGATTACTTTTTCTAGATAATGGGTTTGAAAATTAACTTTTTAACAAATTCAGTAAACTACCATTATTTGTAATGAACTATTAACACACTATAAATAAACAAGATTATAAATTTTAGTTACATAGATTTATGTTGTGTTTAAGGAAAAAAATTAAAGTATTAGAAATACTTAAAGTCTATGATGGTAAATGGATTACATATTTTGTAGATCTGGGGTGTCTTTAAGTGAAGGTTCATGGCTCTTGACAGTGGGCTTTATTTTATCCAAGTCCTGATCAGAATTTATGAATGTAATTTTTTTTGTAATTGTAATAATAATAATAAGGCTTTAAAAATAATTGCCTAAAACAACTACATCAGTGACATTTAAGAATAACACTTGCTTAATACAGGGCAGTGAATGACTTTAAAATTCCTTGCTCAGGACATGACAGTTTTACTGAAATTTTGTTTCACATTCTTAAAATGCTGCCAGTAGGGGGGAACCTGCTTCCCATGATTTTGTTTTCCCCTTTGAACAATAGCGATGGAGCACTTGCATGATGTGTTTGGTGCCTTGCATGAGGAAGACATGCAAAGGCAAAGGTCCAGTCTGCATGCTGCTTAATGAATGTTTTTCCTTTTCTCTCCCTCCTTGTCATGTGCTTTCAGAAGACAACAATGTGGAAGGTGGGTGCTTTCTACTTTTTTTCCAACTCTCATTTGCCTTTTATTTCTTAGTATTAATAGAGTACATCTCAAATTTAGACGGTAAGTTGAAATTATTTCTGAGCATTTGTCAATTTTTGGATTGTGTATCACTTTTCATATAGAACACACACTCTCAACCCCATCAGCCCTTAAATATATGAAACTCCTTCAGTCTTAACTCTGTCGCTTGATGGATTCCAACATGCTGTCAAAACCTTAGAATGCTTATCGCAGTGTTCTGTATGGGAAAATGATGCAATCCTGCTTCTTTTGTTTTAAATGAGAAAGTATTTCTTTGAAGTTTCAGAACTCAATGCATGATTCGGTCTTCATTTTTTTCTCCATCAAAATGATTTATTTTCTTTTGGAAACATTTAGCATTTCATCACCTCAAGCTCATTGGTTTAATTTCAAGTGATTTGATTTATATAAAAACACAGAATAAAGCATTGACTCATAGTAAGAGGCATACATTTAGATTTGAAAAAATAAGCCACTGGCCATTGGAAATGAAAGTATACAGCACTCCAGCGTGATTACCGGTAAGTATGCTTGTGGTATCCTGTGTCTGTTAAATAAAACTACAATAGTCATTAAAAGTTTTTTTCTGAAATTATCTTTATAAAGGAACTCTGAGAAAGTTATACTTTTTTCTATAGAATCCAGCAAACTAAAACATATTTCAACATTCTATCTTTAAAGAACTTAAATGTATGTCAGTGTGCTGCCAGACAAATCTCTCAAGGATAAGAGTGCTAAAAGAACTAGGTAATTGTGTAAGGGATGCTCATGTTCTGTCAGCTCACATAATCACAGCATTAACAATTCTTGCAGAAACATTCAACTCACGTATATATTTCAGAAGTGTTTAACATATTTTATTTTGCTGCGATATTCTAAAATAGAGCCATTTTTTAAGAATAATGAACACTTTTACAGAATGACAGATTTCTTAGAAAAAGACTTCCCATCTGAGGTTACGGATAAATAGCTATTAATGTCACGAAGATTTGATGTCTCACAGAACGATTCATGGTAATACAAAGTTGGTCAAGTAGCAGGTTTCAGCATATTATTTGTGATCCTTTCCTGGACAATATAATTGTTTAGTTGGTGAACATTTCTATTCCATTATTTAAATAAAATAGATTAAAACTTCAGAAGTAATCATCATTGAGTGTTTTTCCAAGTGTTCGCTCTCTGTATGGCTTCTGTTTTTCTATACTATAATTTTAATAGCATGTGAATATGCACTTGATAAGGAGGACATTATCCCGAGGGTCTGACATCTTTCAAAATCAGCATCATTTATATTATGCATGTTAATTGAGATTGATTTTTTAAGTATCTTTTCAATTTTTTTTTGCATTTCCTTAAACATTCTGTAAAATACTCCATGTTTTTGTTCCTTCTTTTTAAATCCACTTGCCTTCCAGGGGCTTTAAAACCAGCCTAATAAGCCTGAATGCTTCTTTCCTCACACATGCATCCCATGAAAAATTTTGGCAAGATTTTCAGAGTATAGGCCCATAAACTATTCAATCATAATTGTGACGTTCCTACTCATAACTTGACTTTGGCAATATAGCAGAGCTCCCTTAGAGGTAAGGAAGTCTAGCATGAGCAATGTGAATGTTTTTGAGGCTTATTAACCTATATCCTTACTGAGGAGGTATTAAAAACCACCATTAGAAGTGTCTTATATATTTTCTAAAAGTTAGATCCTATAGAGAAAAATCCCTGATTTAGTCTACAAAGTTTTAAACTTTTTTCAGAAATATATGTAGTAGGTTTTAAAAGTGAAATTACATGAAAAATAATATAACCTACACATCATGACCAACAGATCATAAACTTTTTAATCTCCCTGTGTGATGCTTTTGTTATAATCACTTTGAAAATACAAAAAGGCTATATTACATAAACATTTAACTTCTATGTTAAATCGTCTTTATATTTTGATTATATAATGATTTGTAAATTCACTGCCCCTGAGGATGTTTAAGTACTCCTAAAATTTTAAGGAAATATGCAGATTATTTCAGTATTGATGCAATTAATGTATGGTATTATGTAGCTCAATAAATAACACTAGGAAATGAAATATAAATTTTATTGAAATTGCTGAATGTATTACTGTATTGCTGTAACTTTTTCCCATGTTCTTGAAATAGACATGGATTGAGGAGAAGCTTTCTTGCTGAATATGGAATGAAGAACTAGGAATTAATGCTCCTCAGTAAAAACTAACTTCTTGGATAGTGAAAGAGTTTTTTTTTTTTTTTTTTTTTTTAAGAACAGTAGCAATATTTAGTAAAGGGGTGAACTTCAATCTTAAGTTAGTTGTTAGGCAACAGATAATACATACTTAAATTAAGGGAATTCAGTATTATTTTAGAAAACTTCCTTGATGAAGTTAGGAATTATATAAAAACAAAACTTTATTGTGTATGTGTGTGTATATATACACATATATATACACATATATACACATGTATATATGTATACAAATATATATACACATATATGCATGTGTATATATGTATATAAATATATATACACACACACTTATTAACTCATAGTTCACTATTTAGGTAATGTTTAGGTGAAAGACTAAATAATTTTGTCCTCCATGGAAAATTACTTGAGCCTATTTAAAGCTGATCCATTGTTTCCTAAATACATGATTCTGTAGTAAATTCTGACTTTACAGCTGCATGTTTAATAATCTGGTTTTGTATCGCTACACGTGTCAGACAAGGAGACATTTCTGCATTATCATTTCAGTGTGACTAAGGATTTTTTTTGATTTAATTAAAACTTCTCATTTTTTGATGAGGGGAAAAAGATCAGACCCAGCCCATGTTTCAGATATTCTTTTGGGTTTTAAAAAATATAATTTCATCACCAAAGAATAACAAGCCCTGTGGTGGCAATATCGTCAAAGGGCATGAAGGACAAATGCAATATTTAAGGGATTGGTTGGATTTTAAGTCATGATTTTATGTTCTTCATTGTTCCAACGGATACATTGAAGAAATACACAGGCCAGCATATGCCACTGTTTCAATTACAGTACTATTAACTCTTTGCCCCAAAGCATTCCAACCAGGAGTTGAAAGAATGCTTTTTGATTTGCCTCTGAGATACAGACATGTCTCATAGGAAACAAGATGTCTGTCACTGAACATTTTTGTCACCGTGACAACCCTGACTTCCCATGCTCCCTTGTTTATTGCTGACTGTGCTCTTGTTTCCCTTCAAGGTCTGGCGCACCTGATGATGGGCGACCAAGGTATGGGCTCTGTTCCTTTTCCACTCTGCTTTCAGTGTTTTCTTGTTCTGTAGCTGCTTTAAACCATCACTGCAAAGGAAGGGCAAATGCTTGCAAATTATCTGGCTGCAAATTAAATACATAACTTTTGTTCACATTTTTTCATATGTTTTTCCCCTTTATTTGTTGGTTTGATTTTGGTTCGCTGCTTTGACTTTTATTTTCATTCATTCTTTGCACTGTTATATCTGTAAATAAATGAGACATAAGAATTTGTGACTGAAAATTTCCATACATTTATAAGCATATGAAGTTAAGGGTAGCTATAGTAAAGAAAAACCGAGAACCATCAGAAGTTACTATCTGAAAGAATATATTCAGTTTATGCTCCTGTACCAGAAAGAGTCCATTTTTCACCCATGCATGGCAGTTTGGGAACATGAAGACATCTTTGGCTTCTGGCTTTTAGAATGCTGACTATAGTGTTTCACAGAATCAATACTTTTTCTACCTATAGTGTAGTCCTGTGTATCTTCTTTTTTGTGTAATCTTTTAAAAGTGAGCATGGACTTTTCAATTTCCTTGCATGTATTTCCTTTAAAAAAGGACAGATTTCTGAAAATATACTGATTATATCTCCATGTGTTTTTAAACCCTTATATATACTTTCTTGTCTTGTTTAATTCTCAAAGAGTAGTGTATTTACATATATACATAATTCTTATTGTTGTTTCTCTCTTTATTCTCTTTGTATGGAAACCCTTTCTTCATGGAACCATTTCATCAAATCCATAGGTAAAAGTAAAGGTATTATATTATTTTGTTTCTTCTTAATATCATCTCTGTGAATTACAGTGTGTATAAGTTATGCAAATGTATTTAGACCTTTCTGTGTTGGTAGTGGCCACTGGAAGGTAGGTATGAGTATTAATGAATATTTTATGAATTTAAGGTAAGAAAACTCCATCAAAATGTTTCACTTTTTTTTGTTCTTTAGGTGCTTTTTCATGTCGGCTGCCTATATAATTAGTATATTTAGAAATTAGCAACAGGTTTGAGTGTCATTTTTTGCAGTACCATTTAATGGTAGTTAACTAAAGAGTGTAGTTACCATAAATATGTCATCCTCAAACATTTAACTCAGGAGCACAGCTGCCTCAGCCATTTTGCATTGGGATGTGAGTGTAAGCACGTACAACATCGAAGTGGTACTGCTGTGCGCTCATCACCTTTTTGCCTGCTAGATGTCATGTACACACATTAATTCCACAAGAACCTGGAAAGGTAGTACTATGACAAAATTAAAGAAACAAGACAAGCCTGTTCTTTCTTTTGTACATACTAACTTTGTTTTAAGAACGTTATCAACCAGGTATACATTTCTGCATCACTTGGTAAGTCAGGCATGTGTACTCCTTGACAGCATTGATGCCAGATTTAAAAGCATGCTTACTTTGCCATTTGGAACCATCCACGTTTGTGTTTAGTGTTGTCATTAAATAGGAGTAGATGATCTGTAGCTGTGGTAAACATGTATCATAGCCCTTAAGCTAATCATTTAACTGTGTGTTAGTGAATGTGCCCTTGGTCTGTCGCCTTTTGTTTTTTGTGGGTTTTGTTTTTGTTATTTTAAATGCAGGAATTTGTCTCATCCTTAAATTCTCTGAGTTTTCTTGTGCTCTGAATGTTAATCTGGTGAATTGGGATGAAATTTCTCTTACACTGTGTCATCTAGCAGGGAAAATTTTCCGCTTGAAAAGCACCTGAACCTGAGCCAGGCAAAGTAAGAAATAATAGCAAAGTTTTAAATGTATAAAAATAAAGCTTTCAAAACAAATGTTGCTTGGATATTTTGAGCCAATAAAGAGAACATATGCTATTGTAGTTTGTGTTTTGGTCACCCATTTCCAATAATATAATTTAATCTTATTTTAAGCCTTCCAGCAACTATACACATGACAGAATGTATCAATTGTTGTAGAGATGCTATATACTATTTGGGATGCTTTCTAAATTTTTTTGGTCAAATTCCTATCTACTTTCCTTTCTTAATGGGCATTCCACACCATGTCCCTTATTAAAGGACTCAAGATGGCATAGAGGGAACTGTATTTATATTTTATTTTATCAACTAAGTGAAGTATATGTCTTTGTATATCTATGAATACATGTGTATACACATAGAAATATAATAAATATTCTAAATATACTCATACATATATATGATGTAAAAAATTAACTCAAAAATAATTTTCTAATTCTATAACCTTTTAACTCTACATATAGAATAATTCATATTTATACTCAGCTGATATTTTAATGTCATCAATGTTAAATGTCACTTAACGTCATTTAGTTTTATTATGTCAGTCTTAAATGTTTTCTGTTGACATATGGGTCATATATTTTTACTTCACTACTTTTCATCAAATAGTATTTCTCAATCAGCACAAAAGTGCAAAGCATGGGAATTTGGTTTCTCCTTTACATTTTTCTTCTGTTTATGGGACCAAGATGCTTTTTGATGTTAAATAGGGAAAGAAGATTGTCAGATGGATTTGAGTGTTTTGCAAATCAGAGTGGTAACCTTTATATGTTGGTTAATTAGATATATAGAAATGAGAAACATGATTTGTAAGCCCTTTAATAGCAAATCAATTCAACAAATCTGCCTTCTAGAGCAAAAATACAATCTTTACTATGATGTGGCATCCACATTCAAAGAATGTCAGTGTAGTAGGGAAATGAAAACATGTGGACAAGTTAGTATAAATGACAGAATGCAAATGCTGTGAGAGTAGGGAAAAAAATGTGGTGGGCATTCAGAAAAGATAAAGTTAGCATGGATCAGGGAATCCCTGATGCAGCTCTCCTTTCCTGTGCCACCTATTGAAGGAGTCATAACATTTCTAGGAATTTTACATTGTAGGTTCCTAAATCAAGTTAAATCCTAGTTGTGCATAAAATAGCTGTTGAACCTGTCCAGTCTGCAGTAATTGATTTGCATTGTAAATTAACGCTTCCTAAATCTTTCCATACAATATAATCCTAGAGCATTTTTCTTGACACTGCTTTCCTCTTTAGTGAATTCAGGGATTCTGGAATGAAACATCTGTGCATCAAAGTCTTTCTTTTTTCTTTTTCTTTTTCTTTTGTTTGAGTCCAGAGGTAAAATTGGATTCAAGAACATTATCATTTTTTTTTTCTATTTGAGTTCTTAAATATTTTCTAAAATTTTAAACCTCCAATGATAGATGAATGTCATTTCTTAAAAAAAGTAATAACTCATCTAAAGAGAACATTACTTCATTTAACCTTATTTATCCCCCTCAGTCTTCTCCCTTGAGGTAAGCACTGATATCATTTTGTGATGTGTCCTTACATAGTTGGTGTGGATCTTTTCATACTCCATAATTATTAATTATTCAAGGTTGGGAAACTGCAAAATCCCTTATCATTTGTAGATGATAAGAACAGCTAAGTCATGTTAAGGAGACATGCTAAGGATTATTGTTATGCACTGGCAGAATCATAATGAATAAAATGGAAGCTTTCTCACTCTTCCTATAGGCCATCTTGCCTCATAATATAATTTGCTCATTCTGCTTCACACTTTAGAGTTAATTATTTGGATTGGTTTTCATGTTTTCTGAACAAGAACATGTCACCTTTACCCGGATACAGTTAGAAATAAACTTTTTTTCAATGAATCATAATTTTCTTTGGGATAGCTGAGGAGAGGTGTTATCCAGAAGGAACCTTATTTCTGCTGGTCATTGCCAGATGGATCCAAGTGGTTTTCGTGAAATTGTGTTTGCTTGCTTTTTTAGGCTTGAAATTTGTCATTGGTATCGTTAGGGCCATTGACAATGCTAACTTTATTCTTCATTCTTTTTAGAATTAGGTGTGTCAATTTATCTGGGAATTTAGTTATTTTTTTTGTTTTTGTTTTCCCATGATTATTTAACTGGTCATTTCATTTCAATAATTACTTTATTTACTTATATTTTACTCTAATGGTTGTTGAAGCGAAATGAATGACCATTTAAATCAGAAAATGCCAAAAAATGTAAGTTATGCAAATCCAGCTGCCATGACTGGTTAATAGCTCAGAAGCATAAGTTAATAATTAATATTAGTACTTTAACTGGAGGTTTGCATTTTCCTTTATAACAGTCATTTTAATGGAAATTATATATTTATATGAGTGATTGTATATTTAATGCCAACTTTTCCTAGTAGAATGTAAGCTCCGTGAGGGCAGGAGACTTGTCTTTCTTTTTAAACATTGTATTTCCAGAATATTTTTTCCTGTTGTAACTTGAATTTACCATTTTTATGACCTGAGTATGTGTGTATGAGGTGGGGGTAGGTGGGCACACATTGGAAGAGGTGGGCTTAAAGGAGAAGATGGAGAGTTTGGGAGTGGACAAAGTAAAGGGTGGAAAAGAAAGAGGAAATTTATGCAAATAACTAAAGAGTTGTAGCAACAAATTACATGAAATCGTCTCTGTCACTGTCTCTCAACTTTCTTTTGTTTCCTGTCATGCATATAGTTTTCTTTCTAGTAAGCCATCATTCCAATATCCCTTTAATATGCCTTAGCATATGCACCACAGTGGGTCTGTAGGAAAATGAAGTCCATGTATCTTTGTATTTAAGGATTTTTAAGAATTTTAATGTGATTTGTTGTCACAGTGGCAAATGATCAATTTTTTTTTTTTTTTGGTAGCTTTCACTATTCATACAGTGACAGGTACAGAAACATTCCTGATGATCTGATCTGATGTTATGTTCTCTGATGTGGTTTCCTATTTGGTTTTTTTGCTGTTGTTATTGTTGTTTTCTACCTCACTGTATCAACTGTGATGTACCATTAGACCTGTTTAGATTGGGTTTGGATTGTAAGCCTTGAAAAGAGCCAAAATTTATGCCTTATCTTGTGATATGAGCATATTTTCTGTTCCTGCATTCATAAATTCTATGGCATTTTTGCAAAGTGAATGTCCATTTGACCATTTCAAATTAACACTTATTGTTTGATTATCCAGGTTTCTTATATTATCAGAAGGCC